TAAATATATATATATATATATACATATACATATATATATATATATATATATATATATATATATATATATATATATATATATATATATATATATATATATATATATATATATATATATATATATATATATATATATATATATATAAGTTAGTAAAAACACTTATCTAATTTTTAGTTTTCTTCAACATAATGTTTCTCCATCAGTAGGTTCATCAGGAAGATTGATGAACTTACTGATGGAGAAACATTATGCTGGAAAAAACTAAAAATTAAATATGTGTTTTTACTCATTTATTATTGCTCTGTTCTTTAAGAACATTGAGCACTCTATTTGTAGAATACACTAATATAATATATATATATATATATATATATATATATATATATATATATATATATATATATATATATATATATATATACATATATATATATATATATATATACATATATATATATATATATATATATATATATATATATATATATATATATATATATATATATATATATATATATATATATATATATATATATATGTATATATATATATATAATATATATATATATATATATATATATATATATATATATATATATATATATATATATATATATATATATATTCATACTTTAATAAAATAGTTTATTTGGAAAATATAGTCAAATTTGGAAAGTTGGTGATTTTTTTTTTGTCTTAATTTTAGAGCTATACGAAAAATAGTTGACAGTTTTAGCAGAAATCATTGCAGGTCTGTTACTAATTCCTCGAAATTAAATAACTTTTATTACTGTTAATCTGATATTTCCTAATTATTTTTCTCTTCTACTAATTTTTATATTACTTTCTTAAGATGCATTATAATTTTTTAGTTTAAAGCATCAAAGATAATAAAGCCATGTGATAAAAATACCAGTAAAATAAGTTAAAACAATGTCTGGAGAAGAATTAGTTGATGAACCAATAGAGGATGATGTTGATGAAACACTTGAAAATGAAAATGATGGTGATGAAAATGAAAATGGTGAAAATGAAGATGAAAATAATGACAATGAACATACTGATAATGAAGATAAAGAAGGGAAAGAAAATGTAAATAAAAATAATGAAAATGAAAATAAAGAAAATGAGGTTTTTAGAAAAAAATGTTGAACTTTTTTTTTCTTTTTTTTGTGTGTTTTTTTTATAGGTGTTACATTCTGATTCAAATTATTTTAAGATTTAACTTTGCATAGTTTATTGTAATTTTTATTTAGTAATTATTAATATATAACAATTTAAAGTTACGTTACGTCTTAATTGGTTACAATTGACAACAAGGTTACATTCTCTAATTATTATTTATATATCAAGTAAATAAACTTGAAAATGCAGTAAATGTTTGTTCATCATTCCCGTATTGCTAAATACTATCTTTCATTTTATTTTTATTTTAAAATAAGCTTTGTCTCAATTGTTTACATTGTCACAAAAAAAAAAGTTTTAATTTGCAATGTTAGGTCTCAAGTGTTTTTTTTTTTATCTTTTCAAAGTATAACCAATTGATATGTAACGTAATGTAACTAAATCTAGATTTGAGACGTAATTAAAATACGTCTTAAACATAGATTTTTTTAACAATACATTACGTCTCAATTAGTATTATTGTGTTTTCAACAATCAAATACATAAATAATCAAATATATAAATAATATTGTTGTAAAACAATTTAGTTAAATATCGAGACATTTGTAACTAAAAAATATTTTTTTTAAAACTGCTAATTATCATTGTTTATTTTAATTGTAAAATAGATTCGTCTTAATTAGTAATTTTTTTTTTTGCAACTAATTTGTCACAAAAAAAAAGTTTCAAATTGCTTCAATTATTTTATTTAAACTTATAAAATTGCAACTTCTAAAAAGTGTAAACTGAAATGTATCTTAACGTTAAAAAAATCTCTATTTGAGACATATTTTAACTACGTCTCATATCTAGATTTTATTACATTGCATTACGTTTTTGTTTTGGTCAATAATACAAGCATAATACTTCACAGATTTTTATATACCCACAAGCAAAAATGTATATAAATTGTCAACCTTTCTTATGATATAAATTAAATATATTATATACATTAATTAGCCTAAACCATTTATGTGTATAGTTTTGGACTTTCTGTGAAATTTCTGTCTACACTCTCTAATTTATCTTACTGACTTGACTTCGTTCTTTTACGAAGTCATGGTTTTTTCTTTTCGTTCTGTCTTTCTCTCTCTATATATAGCTCTCTCTCTATATATATATAGCTCTCTCTCTCTCCATATATATATAGCTCTCTCTCCATATATATAAATGTACATATGAAAAAGCAAAAACTAATTAAATAGAAAGATAACAGGTTACAATCTTATGTGCCATTTGGTCAAAATGTTATGAGTTGTTACGCAACATTTTGCATGTAGGGTTATCTTACTGTGTTACGTATTGTTATGCTACAATGTTACATCTCGGTTATGCAAAAATAATGGACATTTTGCACATAACCTTATGTTGCAGTGTTATGCAGGAGGCCAACAGGGCCAATAAAGCCTAAAGTGCTAGGAGGCCAAGAAGTACTTAACCCAGCCCTGGGTGTGTTTAGAAAATTTTTTAAAGTTGTTGAGTTTTCTTTTTCAACTATTATTAACTAGTATTAAATTTGCTCTCCATTTCCAGTAACTTTTTGGATCACAAGGTATCATCCTTGGTCAGTTATTTACTGCAAAATCAAAAAGGAATGAATCAAAACATGTAAGGAAAGTTTTGAGAAACAATCCATAGAGACTAGGATATAATTACGGAGGATGATTTGCGGTGTTATTGAGAAAACTTATTATTACAAAGGATGAGTTGCAGTGTTATTAAGAAAACTTAGGCACAAGTCGGCTTAAACTAATTGGGTTGGTAAAGTTGAAAGTCCAAAAACTGTAGTATGATAGAAAATGTTTGAGCAAAAAAATTTGACATCTTGAGTTTCTCATTTAGGTTATACTAAAAAATTGAATGCCACTACTGGTCAATACTTTTTGAGAAACTAGTTGAAACATGTTTTACATGAAAATAAAATAATCAAAAATAACAGACACTCAAAATTTTAAATTTCTCCATAGTAATGTTTAACCCCATCTTACTCAAACTGCCACAGATAGCTTTAATTAAAAAAATTGGGGGGGAAATTTTAAATTTACTAAAAAAAAGTTTACTAAAAAATTCAAGTGAAGTTATGAAAATATCAAACACATGTTTTTTTTTATTTTTTTTATTTTTATAGTTCATCTGCCCAAGGCCGAGAAGGCCACTAGAGATAAGGAGGCTACTTGTGGTTATAACCCTCTCTTAACTCTATAACTCCGAAACACAAACCTTGGCAAACAAGGCCACTACCCCGAAAAACAAGTTAAGTGCGGTTCTACCATGGACATGGTGTGAATCGAACTCATAATGCTGTATTGTATATATTTTAATGCTGACATTTTGAATATTAGTATTTTTTTATTAGAAGTAATAAAAAAAATTTAAAATAATTGAAGCCTTTAAACAATTAAAAAAAAATTGAAAAAGCTGTAATAAATTTAACAGAGTCGCTTTTATTCTGAGTACATTTTTAATGAGCTACTTTTTACTTTTACTTAAACTTATAAGTAAACTTTTTGACCGGTAACATTTACTTGTACTTGAGTAAAATTTCAATCTAGTAGCAGTACTTTTATTAGAGTACAAAAATTTGTTACTTTTTTACCTCTGGCAAGTTACAATGAAATGACAAGTTATTATGTTATTAATAAAAAAATAATTTTAAATCTGTTCAGAACATATAAATCCCAAATTTAATATAATAAATCTATTTTCAGGAGGAGGTCCATGCTGAGCCATTAACAGCTGAGATAATATCAAGTAGTTTATCTCTTTTGTGTAAGATTGGCACTGGCCTTGCACATGCATATGTCAAACTTAATATAAGCAAAAGGTTTGACAAATATTAAATAGTAATTAAATAAAATGATAAAATACAAAGTTTTTGTGTATCTTCTTTATGGTGTTATTAAGCCATTAATAAAGCCATTTTTATAATTTTTTATTTATTTTTTGTTTAAATAAAGCAAACAATCATGTTTAAAAAAACAATTCAGTAAATAAATAAAAAGTTCAATAAATACAAATCAATCAATATAATGATTGTGTGTGATTTTTTAAGTTTCATACTTTTTCTTTTTGTGTTAATTTTTAAATTAATAAATTCTATAGTTGAATTTATAAAAAGATAATATAGAAAAATGTTATGCAAGTGATCAGAATTTTTTTTTTTAATAAGCAAAGGATGGTGTTATTTTAATTGGTAATTGAATAATGACACTATGAATAAATATACACAAAAAAGTCTTAAAATGTTTTTTGATATTAAAGCTATTTTAACTGATACATTTATTTTCATAAACTTTTTTTTCTGTATTATTTTTATTTTAGAGAACTTGGGGATATATCTATTTTGGAGAGTTTTATTTATTTGAGATACTTGGTAAGATTCATTTAGTTAGCTTTTTTAAACTAAAATTACTTGAATTTTTAGCAATTTTCATAACTTTTAATATTACTTAAAGATCATGAAAAGAATAATCAAATGATAAAAATAAATAGATTTAACTTGAAAAATTTAAAAAATGGAAAATTACAAAAAAAAATTAATATAATTATATAAAGTATTGAGTTTAACTTATTAAATTTAAATTAGTTAACTTCACTTTAAGTTAGAGTTAAACTCTTGGAATTCGAAATATTGATTTTATATAACATTTCCAAGAATTATCAGAAGTAAAAATAAATCTAGAAGATTGTAGGGTAGATGACTCATCGAGTACATTACCGTTCATAAATATAGAAAGATTATTGCAATAAAGATTATCTGAAAAAATTCAAGTTTTATCGGAGTTAATAAAGTAGAATGAGAAGATCAAAACCCATATTGATGATCAGAAAGTAAGTTATTAGTTTCAATATGAGAGATTAAGTATTTGTTAATTAAAGACTCAAAAACCTTGCTTATGATAGCAAGAAGACTAATGGGATAGTAGTTAGACGAGTCAGATTGCTCCCCAGAATTTCTGAAAATAACAAGATTCTGATAAGCACTTATTAAATAGTTTTGAAAGTATAGACGACAGCTCCAAAGAACACTTTTGCAAGACTATAGCAGGTATGTTGTCTGGACCACAAGCTATAGAAGAGTCTAAGCAGGAAATCACCATAGATACAGAAGCTGGAGTGATATCATTATCACTAAGATCACAAGATGAGACAGCTGAACTCAAATTAGTCTCACAAAGGGCAAATAAGTCAGGTGAACTATGTAAGAGATAAGACTCAACAGAAAAAAAGTTACTTCAAAGACCATGAATATTAGTGAATGATAGGTTCAGAGAACTTGGTGATGGCTATGGTTTTTTGTGTTTTATATGTTTTGATACTTTAATCATTTTTAAATTTATTACTCTCAAGTCCTTAATACAAGGGGGGAGGGGAAGTGTGGTATTAAAAGGAGGGGGGGGATTTTAGTCCAGATCTAATAAATGGGGGGTTAATAAAAGGATGGATGGGAATTTTTTTATGTTACAATATAAGTATTTTTTTATAAAAAATTTCTCTTTATAAATCCAAACTAATATTTTTTACAAAACACGCATAAAACTATTTAAATCTAGCATGGCTTGCAGTCAAATGCAAATTTTCTAACAGCTGTTTTATAATAATTTCAATAGGATTTAATATGGTGGTATAAGTTTTATACTTTGGTGAGAAATAAATTAAAAGCTCATTTTCAACAAACTTGGTCAGTGATTGGGGGAACATTTTTTAATTTTTGGAAAATTTTTTAAAAATTAAAAAATGTCCCTCCCCCCCTTTTATTAGGGAGTCGAGAGTAAAGAACTTGACTCAAAGCACAGATAGTTCTCAGTACACTATTTAATAGTCCAAGTAATTTTCTCAAGAGTAGAAGTGCTTTAATGATAGCAATTTTCTTGAGTGCATACTTTAAACTTTGCTGACTAGAGACAATATATAATCTCTCATCATAGCAGTATCTCATTGACATAGAACAACCTTGAAGTTTCTTCTTCAATGTTTCTTGATTTTTTCAATAAGCTTTGCAACCAGTTTTTTGTTATTAGGGTCCTTGCAATTTCCTTACCAAGTCTTTTTTTCAATTATTGCAATTGCTTTTTCAAGTTTCTCTGACTTCAACATTGCTTTTAGTTTGGTCCTACAAATATAATATCTTTGATCTTTGCCTCAGATAAGTTTGGAAACATGAGACAGATAAGTTTGGAAATATGAGACTTAACAATTTTTTTGTTAATCTTCTTCTCCAAATCTGAGGCTTTTACTAACTGTTTTAACAATCTTAGTTAGATATGAAGTCGGGGTAATAAGACTTTTTTGAAATTTTCTATAGGTTACTTGATAACATAATAATCCTGCGGAGGGATTTTCTCCAGTGTATTTACCAAACATGTAAGATTTAGAATTTTTTTTTCTGGTGGTTACATTAACTAACTTGCAGCTCATAATTCATAAATAAGTTTTAGGTCATCTGGGCTTGTTGATAAAAGCTAAGACAACAGGTTTGTTTTTTCAATGTTTATGGTTAAAACTAGATAAGTAAAGCTTTTTTGAGCACAAAGGAACAGTTACAATAAAATTATGCAGCTTATAATGAGTGACGAGTATGTAATTATTTCATCATTATGCTGAATAATGAGACATAAGTATGTAATTATGTCATCAGCAAATAAGAAAATTTTTTTGCAAATAGTTCTGCATTATCTTTGGCAAAGGTAATAAGATAAGATCCATGTATGAAAGGTGAAAGTTAAACTGCTTTTTTATTGCTACAATCTGTGAATTATGAACTTTAGCATCGACAGTACCTTTTTTCATTCATTTCTTGCAATAATAAAAAGACTTTTTTTCTCTAAAGAGTTGCTCTTGGAGAAAAAATGAACAAAATGTTTATGATTAGAAATAACTGCTGAACAAGAAGAAGAAAACTATATGATAGAGTGAGACTTGACTTGAAGATTAAGAAATACAAAAATTTTGAGAATTAAAGCCAAAAATCAAACTCAGTCTGTCAAACTAGAACTAAACCATTCAGTGTGATGAGCATTTGAGTCAACAATAAAAAGAAATATTGGTTGAGAGGCATACAGAAAAGAGGTTAATTTAATTAGAAACAACACCAAAACAACTCTTGGGATAAAGGAGAGCAATAAGTAACAAAAGCAAAATAAAAAAGCAAAAGCACGTAAAAAAATAGTCTGAGGACTCAAACCTGATTTTGTGAAAAATAGGTGCAACTTCTTCCCCAATCTCCGCTGGATTTAAAAAGTATATTTATATAGGTTAAAAAAAATATGTAAGTAAATTACAACAAATTATTTTAAACATTTATTTTTTATTTACTTTTTTGTAAATAACTGCTTATATTTTTTAAATCTATATCAGATATGTTTTACGTATGACTTGGTATTGTTGTGAGTGCAGAAATTATGCATATAACCAAGATAAGCACCCAGCACTCATGATTTCTCATTGGTTAAAATACATTTTTAATTGGTCTATGTGGATGCATAAATCTGATTTTAGTATCAAGTTCACTTACATCTTCCCTATCCACCAAAATTCATCAAAAAAACATGCTATATAAAGTAATCTTTAATATTTTATGAAATATCTTTATTTTTGTTTTTTAGAATAATATCAAATACTTTTGTATGTGTATCCATACTTGTTTTTTTTTATAACTTAATGTATTTGAACAAATAGAAATAAAATAATAATACATCCTTGTACCAGGAACTTTTTTCTAAATAGGCTTGAGTTTAGTCTATTTACTTTTGAAAATAGCTTAAATTAAATGCCAGTTATTTTGGTTTTACATAAAGACTACATTAAATTAACATCTTAAATCTGTCCATTAGTTACTTGTTTTAGACTTTCTTGACAAACTACTTGTTTAACAGTTCCGCCAATGCCATCAAAAAATACCCATTAAGCATTTAAACCAAGGTTTCTACTGAGATGGCAAAGATTGATAAAGTTTTTAAAATTTTTAAATTGCGCCACACAGTCATCAATAAAATACTTCACACATGGTCTCGTAGATTTTCTTTGAAATATTTATTTTACCTTCTTGAACCTTTTTGTTATATTTAGTTTTACCTTCTTGAATCTTTTTGTTACCTTTAAGAAGATTAACATCTTCTAAAAGGTAACAAAAAGATTTTTGCTTGAGAAATGTTTTCTCTTGAAAATAAATTACAATTGTAAAAAGTGAACACTGAGTTTTGCTCCAGTGATTACTTTGGACTTCAAATACCTACCTGGACAACAAATTGATAATTTTTATCAAAATATCCTAAAATTAAGCATTGATTTTAGTTTATATTTTCTTTAAAGTTTTTGAAGTATCTACTTTGTGTTTTTGCTATAATATAAATCAATTGTAAATTTTGCATTTTGGTGATGTATGCATACACATACATTGTGAGTACCTGATGCATAAGTTGTAATGCACCACTTATGTTTCAGAGTACAAAACTTTGACAAACTGACCTTAACATTAGGATAGTCGTTTTTTAAATGCAATATTTAGTTCAATAAGATTGAGAAGTAAGATTGAATAGTGGACGCATTTTAAAACAACCTTTTTTGAACATGTTGGTTTTACTTAAAACTAACAAAAATATTTTCTACTGTAATCATTCTTTAAAATCTCTTCATTTAAATAAAAAACTCCAATAGTCACATGCTTGGCTTAGGCATCTACATTTGTAAGAATTCACTGTATTGTCGGGAAACTAGGTTTAAATCCATAGACTATTCTTTTATGTGCTTTCATTTAGCACCACTTCACTCTAATGCCTTTCTCTTTGCTTTCCTTTATCTTAAGACTGCACTCTCTTTGATGTTGTTTCTGATCAAATTGATCTAGCCCTTTCACTTTTTCCTTCAGCAAGTATTGTTGTTATTAATAAATTTAATGCTCATTACACTGAATGCCTTGGCTCTAGTATCAGTGATTCTCACAACTTCTGCTTTTCTCAATCTCCAACGCAAATAGTCAACTTTCCAACTTGCTTTCCAGAAAAGTCTGAACCATTTACTTTCTCTACACAGCTTTGTTTCTGATCCTAGTCAGTGGACAGTTTCTCCACCTTTACCGTTAGGTAGTTTGATCTCTCTAAAACTATTATCTCATTTTTCTTCATCATCAGAATCCCTTTATTATTGTACCTCTTTAGGGTGTTAACTAGGAATAAATTTGATACATCGTTTTGATAAAATTGGGAAATTGTCAAAAAATTTCTCAAATATACCCCCTTCTTCCCCTCCCCTGAGATTAAAATGTGGGGAATGTGTGGAATGTGTGGGGTCCTCTTCTTATATTCTTTCTTCTTCTACTCCACTTTAGCGCTGCATTCAATGATTAGACAGTGCCAAAAATAAAGCAAATACCGTCTGTAACATTTATTGAAGATGAATATGAAATCAACACAAAATTAAACGTGGTTTCACTACGACAAGACAAATTAAGCTCTGATTTCCAAAGATATATTTAGAATTATATATTTTTATATTATAAAATAATCAATGTGTATAAACTAATTATTATTAAAAATAATAAATTTAATTTACTTTTAATCTTACTATATTGTTGCCACTTTTATGTTAAGAGTATTCTTTTGAATATATATATATATATATATATATATATATATATATATATATATATATATATATATATATATATATATATATATATATATATATTTATATATATATATGTATATATATATATATATATATATGTATATATATATATATATATATATATATATATATATATATATATATATATATATATATATATATATATATATATATATTTCAGTGATGTTAAAGGGCAATTAAAGAGAAAAAG